TTTGGGGGGATGTTGGGGGTTTCACGCACGGCCCAGTACAGAGGGTTTCCCGGAGCCTTGCGCCCGGCCTGCGAGGCCTCGGCCGGGAACGGCCGCTGCCGGGCTGCGGGGAGCTGGGATCCTCTGTCCTCTGCGCTGCCTGTGGGCAGGGTGGTGCTGGTCTGTTCCTCAGCACCGTGCCGGCTCCCAGCGGCTTGGGGGTAGCGGCAGTAAGGGCTTGTAGAGCCAAATTCCTGGCTCCTAGCTTCCAGTTTTCCCAAGGTTTTCCTCAGTGGAAATTAATTTTTTTTTCCATTTGAGGGGGAAAAAAAAAAAGCAAACTCCAAACAGTGTTAATGGCAAAATATAACAAGGCTTACTGCCAAGCAGGCTCTTCTTTTATATTGTCCTTTTTTTACAGAAATGAAGAATACTGTGAAAGTGGAGCTAAAATCTAATACTGCTTCCCTTTCCCTCTCTCTTGTTGAGTAGTTGGTTGGGTTTAATGGTTTGGAAACACTAACAGCAGGGCCACCCCCTAAGAAAAAGTGGCTTCCATCACCCTATGAGAAACAGTGGGAAGGATCATGAAAGGTCATCTTTTTTCCCCTTCCCTGATGTAGGAAGAGGTATATTCAAAGTGTGAATTGGGACATGGAGGCACTGTGCCACTGACAGGCTGCTTGTAGATTTTGCTTGGTGTGACTGTGGGTGTTTTGGGCCCTGACTTGAGCAATACCCCTGGACCATTTCTGGCGGTAGTCTTGTTGTCGGTCCTGCTCCAGGGGCTGCAGAAACACTAACACTGGTTCTGGGGAGAGTTCTAGGAGGAGTGTGAATGTGTTTCTTGGGAGCCACACAGGTTTAAATCGGTATAAGCTGGTTGTGAAACTGCACCCTGGAATCTAATGCAATTTTTGTTGCACCAGCCCTTTCTCAAGGGGCTGGCAATAGGAAATGAACTACTGACTTAACTGGAAATCGCGTTTATGATGTGGAGGGTTGGTTTGCTTGTTTTTTTCCTACTCATTTCAATAAGCCTGCAAGTACATTTTTTGGGGGGCCTAGCTTAACTTTTTTTTTTTTTTCTTTTACTGCATTTTAAGGTTGGAGTAAGAGGGAAGGACATTGTAGTTCTTGGTGTGGAAAAGAAGTCTGTGGCCAAACTTCAGGATGAAAGAACGGTGCGGAAGATCTGCGCGCTGGACGACAACGTCTGCATGGCTTTTGCAGGTGTGGGGTCCCCCTGGGGGGTGGCACTTGCTGGAGCACCCCTGGGAATGCTCATGGGTTCTGAGAGCATAAAATACTTGGTGTAACTGGCTGAGGCCAGGGGCAGGAGTGTGTTCCCACAGCTGCTTATTCTTGTTTTAAACAAGAGCAGCCAGCTGTCTGGGTAAATATAGAGAGTGATCTGATGGGAGGAATTGTGTGTTAAAAGTTGCTGAGGTCCTGTAGGTTTAATGTGAGCATGGGGACTGAGAACTGATGTGGCACTGGCACAGGCACATGCTGTTTAAATAGATATGTGTACATTTGTGTGTATATATTTTATGTATTTGAATTTTTATATATTTTGTATAAAATACGTATTATTAATGCCTATCACAGGAGCTATAAGAGACATTTGTCACTTATGGGGACCTTTTAAATAGACCAAGCCAAAAAAGCTAAATTTTGCAGTCTAAAACAAAGAAAGAAAAAAATCTGTTCTAGTTCAGAAGACTTGACCTAAATGATCAGCTCTGGATTTGAAGCATAGATATTCTAGTTCTACATTCTTCTTGTTCCAAGTGCCTTAAATTCCATTGTTCAAAGCCTAAACAGGAGATGGGAAAGGTTCTTTTTTTAAAAAGAAAAGTCAATGGAGAGAAAAATGTACTTCAGAAGGTTTCTCCTCTCTTCAAGTAGTTTAGAATCTTTGTGTCAGTGTTAGTAATGCTTTAAGAGAGATCTGATTTAACCAAAAATCAAAATCCTAAATATAAAAGCCAGGTCTAAATCTAGCCTGGGTGTAGACTGGGTTGCAGGAGGGGTGGGCTCAGGTGCTTCTGCTGCCCACTGCTGAGGGTTGTGATATGCACAGGTGGGTTCCTAAGCGTGAAGAAAAGTTCTCTAATAGAAACAAGCCTGTACATTGAAAATGACATCTATTTCTAAAGAAATAGAATTGGACATAAATTTCATCACACTTTTTTTTTTTTTTTCCCCAAGATTCATACTCATTTTTGTCAACGGGCCAAGAATCACTGGGGGGTTAAAGCTGGTGTGTGGTTAGGGGGGTGTGAAAGCAATAACTGAACGTGTGAGACGGGCTCTGGCTTTGTCCTTGCCGTCAGTCTGTCAGTAGCATCCCAGTTCCCTGGCTCAGAACTGCCTTTGTTACCTGAATCACAAATGTGAAGGCTGTGAACTAAATCCTCTGCTGTTTTGGTACATCAGCTTCTTCCTGTTGCCTTGAAAACACTCTCCTCACTCAGCAGACCCCCGGCGGCCTGACCACTCGGCTGCTTCTCGCCTTGCTCTTCACACTGACCCCATGATTTCAGGCAAGGCCCCAAAAAGGGTCTTGTTGTGTGTGGTGTGTGAGGCGTGGGCTGAGAACGCTCTGTCCTTTCAGGGCTGACAGCTGATGCCAGAATAGTTATAAACAGAGCTCGTGTGGAGTGCCAGAGCCACAGGCTCACGGTGGAGGATCCTGTCACCGTGGAGTACATCACGCGGTACATTGCTAGCCTGAAACAGGTACGTGGGGCTGCAGGGGGGAAAAAACAACAAAAAATGCTTAAAAATGCATCCTGACAAACTGTGCTTCAAAGTGAGTGTGTAAAACATCTGCCTGCCCTGGCCTTGTTCTGCTCAGCTGGATAAAAAAGTGTAACAAACACACTGCTGGTGTTTATTTGGAGAGGGGATGGAGTAAGAGAAAAGCAGGATTGATTACTGCTGAGCTTTTCTCCCAGGATGAAGAAATTAGTTAGTCCTTGTAAGGACTGCATAGCTGGGTTAGTGATACCATCAGGAACACTCTGCTTATCAGCAGCTCTGACTGACTCCCCTCACAGCAGCGCCCGGTGTTGTCAAAACCTCCTGGCTCCTCTTCCTTTGTCCTCCTACTGAGCTGTTGCAGGGAGGGGCAAGAGGGGAGCAAATCGTTTTACATTTGATATTCATGAATTTAAAATTAATTACAGGGGCAAAACACACCCAACTGTGTTCTGTGATGAAATTAATTTGCCAGTGTATTAAACTGATGTTCAGCAACTAGTGGGGATTAAAAAGTCTGAACTGTCTTACACAGCTGTATTAGTGTGATGGTGGCACTAGTGCAATTCCTGTCATTATGACTAGCCAGAAGAGAACTCGCTAGAAGTATTTCTAGTGCCTCGTGCAGTCCTGACTTCTACAGGACACTGCTTTCTACTCATAAAGTGTGTCCAGAACTGCCTCTGAAGCCAGTGTCTGTGCCCTCTCCCTGCCCAGAGATACACGCAGAGCAACGGCCGCAGACCCTTTGGTATCTCCGCTCTTATCGTGGGATTTGACTTCGATGGGACCCCACAGCTGTATCAGACCGACCCCTCTGGCACCTACCACGCTTGGAAGGTGAGTCCATTCTGTCTCTGGTGGAGAAGTAATGAAACATTCGTGTGTTCTTGTCCCCTTCTGGGAGGGACTGGTGTAAAAGGAGATCACAGCAGCTGGATGGTGCTGGCTTACAGCCACAGAAATCCATAGCAGTTGGGGGTGCCTGGGGTGGCAGCCTGCTGTTCAGCTTCCCTTGGGACACCTTGTCCTGATGTACAGAACCCCACCGTGCCTGACAGCTCTCTTTCTGTGTGACATTTGGGCAGTAACATGTTCAGTCTGCTGAAAAATACAGTGATCACAAAATTATTTCATTTTATATCATTGCACAACTTGCATTTCTTGCTTACTCTGTAAATTAAGTCCTTTTCTACACTTCATTTTCTTTCTCCCCTCGATGTTTTCAGGCTAATGCCATTGGCAGAGGGGCCAAATCAGTGCGTGAGTTCCTGGAGAAGAACTACACTGATGAAGCCATTGAAACAGATGATCTCACTATTAAACTTGTCATCAAGGCTCTTCTCGAGGTGAGGCTGTTCCACCTCCCTGGTGAGGCTTCTCATGCTGTCTGGATTAACTTCTCAGATGGGGGCAGGTGAAAATCGTGGTGCATGGCACAGGGAAGTACTATAAAAGGACCTAAACTGGTCACTGCAGGCCATGGGTGTGGGGTTCAGCTCAGAGTTCAGAACCATTCGGGGAACAATTTCCATCACTTTTTGTACAGAAAACTCCCCAGCAGTTCTCTGGGGAGGGAAAGGGACTTCACTCTGGGTGTTAAAGCAGATGCACCAAAGATGTGTGAAACCGTATGCAGAATATTTTACATTTGTATTGAAGCACAGAATCCGTGGTGGGGGTTGGAAGGGACCTGTGGGGATCATCTCATCCAACCCCCTGCATCCGGGCAGGTTTGGAATTTCTCCAGAGAAGGAGACTCCACAGCCTCCCTGGGCAGCTGCTCCAGGCTCTGGAGTTTAAGATGGAGACAATATCAACAGGCAGTGGGTGGAAATGAGGGGTTCTTCACCAGCCATGAGAGCACTAATGCCACGAGGAGAACCCTTATTGAGAGTGACAAGAAATGGAGTGGAGAGCTCAGAGCTCGTGAGCTGAATGCTCCCCATCCATAGCTGTGCTCTTTCTTTGAAGGCCTGAAAGGGGTTTGTTAGAATTAATTGATGGATGTGCTCCTAATACCTGCCTCTACCTCCTGTGAAGGTGGTGCAGTCCGGGGGGAAGAACATTGAGCTGGCGGTGATGAGGCGGGAGCAGCCGCTGAAGGTAAAGGTCTTTGTTTTGCTTTCCTCCCTTTATGCTGGTTTCTTTGATCTGTGTTAACTTCCAGCTCTTAATCTCCCTTTCTGCCCTGGTAAATATTTCTGTAAATATTCTGCCCAGGGAATGTTGTGTCTGCAGGAGGTACCTGTGGCTGGCCTTACCCTTTTCCTCGTCGGAACCAAAAAGCC